CCCGGCAGAGGAGACGACCCGACGGAGACGTCTCCACGTGGTTGGCAGAGGTCCGGCTGAGATACCGGCGCTAAGAAACGCTCGCGATTTAGTTTAAAGGGACGACTCCAGGGGAAGGATCATAGTCATTGGCTATTAGGATCTCGACCAATCGGATTGATTAGTCACCGAATTTGATTACTGTCAGTCAGTCTGTCTTGGGACACCGATCGGGGTGCCTCGAGCCACCTCGCGCTCCCGTGCTATCTGTCGATAGTTTTTCCAAACGTGTTTCCTACCCGGTATAAAAAGTTCTCGCTTGTACAGTCCTCGTTATTCTCGCAATATCCAGAAAATCCTACCGATTTTCTACGTGCGTTTCGGACGTGCAGTGTTGTGCTACAGTCCAGTGCCCACCCGAGTGGCCCCCGGATGCTGCTCTCGGCCTTCACTGATCAGCTGGATCAGCCCCGGTGAGTACTTCCGATTTATTAATTGGTGCAGGAGATTTAAATTCTATAGCTCCGGTCGGTCTGTTACGTTCCCGATCAATTGATATCCGTTTCCGGCACTTGTTATCTGACGCTTATTCCGATCATCTCTACCTCAACCTAGCAGCCTGAGCCACCGCGCATTTACGTAACCCTTCGCTTCTGGTCGAGTAACGATCAGCACGTACGGCTGCGTTTCTCAATTTTACGCGACCCCAGAAATCTACAGGATCCGTAAAGTTATCGTATTTTCCGATAGGTTCCGTCAAAGCTCTTATTTCGCCAGACTCGAAACTGTCCCACCTCAGCTCCCAGGTCGCACTCGTCAGTTCCCGTCGAAAAAAGAATTAGCTGGTATGCGGATCCACGGACGAAGGGTGGACGGTCCAAGGTGACGTAGGTTAGCTCATGGATTTTCGTTATCAGTGTCGAGTTAAGAAAATACATTACAAGGGTTCCTCGGTATAAATACACTAGCCGTACAGTCCAAGTCAAATGGATATGCCAACTTCGTGTAGTGATTTTGTTCCGAGTAACCCTTTTATGTATATAAAGATATAAATAAATAAAGACATTGTCGTCCCCCTTTAGGCTATATGTGTAGAAAATTTAATCTCTTCTTTAATACCGGGAATGTTAAGCAACCCGAAATTTCCATGCTATTAAAGGGTGAAGGCCAATGAATAATGCATGAATCGAATTACAGGGAGCCGGTACACCTTGTCCCAAGAGTCGGTATGGTCTGTTCTCGACTTTTTGCCGGTTTCTCGGCGCTTCGCAATGCTTACACGTCGAGAAATCGTCGGGTTACTCGAGCACGGTAAACGAGGACATTCGGTGGTTACGTTCGAGCGAAATGCGCTTCTTTTCGATCCCAGTCGGTTCCAAGTGTTGAAATTTTCAGGAAGTTTCGTTATGGCGCTTCCGGTGGTCGGGACGTCACGGCAGGGAAAGAAAAGTTTCTGCAGAAACGATAAGTCGTAAACGCCAGGAGTTTGCCAGGTCGATTCTCTTCTGGCTCTTCTTTCTTTCTTTTTTTTCCCTTCCTTCCTTCCTCTTCTTCCGGTTCTTTGGCTTCCCTCGAAACGAATGGTTGGGCACGGGGGTTTTCATTTTGAAACGACCTGTATCTGATGGATAAGAATTGAACGTCTTATCTGCGATCGCGTAACGAAAATCACAATAGACTGTGCTTCTGTTCGAATGCAAATGATTTCTCCTTGAATTCATTTGGTTTGTGTAAGGAGATGGAGATTAACGTTTGTATCTTGGGAGATCGCGCTGCGTTCATTGTCCCGTAATGAATTTGAGAACATGCCATTTTGATTCACGAAATTAAAATGCCTCGCGGGTGGTCCTGGTACAAAACGAATGAACAGAAACCGCTACGATTTACGTTGCGTAATTAAAGTGTATATATATATATATATATATATATGTATATTCTATACAGACTGTATATATAGGCTAAGACTTTAATCCGTCAGAGTCGAAGCTCCACACGCTGGTATCTCGTTAAACAAAAATCTAAATAAGAATTCCTCGTTAAGGAAGAATTTTTTATATCGTAAGATGGCGGAAAGGAGCTCTCTTCCTCGTTTAACCATTAGACCGTGTAATTCTTCCTAGACGGCTATACCGTTATATATCGTCCGACTCGAATGGGCTGTGTTTAAGTAGCTGCGACCGTAACGAGGCTTTAAGATGGAATTTCGCTGGGAAACATTTGAAAACCACTGGTTTAAGGCGAACTTCTCTCGGATAAGCTTTCGCGCGAGAGATTAAATGCAGACGCGCCATTATCGCGATTAAAGTAAGGGTGACGCCGCCGGGACTCGAACCTTTACCCTCTTAAACTGATTCGAGTGCTTACGATTCCATTCTCTTAATATTCCAGTCGCGTCCTTTGTGTACGCATGTATATCTCAAAGATACCGCTTCAGGACGCCTGGCGTCCCGACGCTTCGCGAGTGTAATATCGAAAGTATATATCGTCTGACGTTATCGCGCACGCGAAAACTTGTAAAATCGTCAGCCGTCGCATTCATGGTTATCGTACTTTTCATCTTCATCTCCCTGAGCAAGTCGTAGTAGAAAAAAAAAAAAATAAATGCAATGTCTGAAATTCACAAAAAAAAAATAAATATTTTGCGTCACGCGAATAAATTTACGTCACTCCGTTGAACGAAGCATATTCAAATTTTTGACCAGCAATTTTTCATAATACCCAACCGTGACCCGATTTTGTCGCCAACATAGAAATTCCGCCCTTAACCATTTAACCTGGCATTTAATCGCCGGTCGAGTCTCCGAAATGTCATTGTGACAGTTCTTCTGTCAAACGTCAAGTGACCACGTGCGTCTTAAAAACGTGCAAAGGAATTGTGGAAATCGATTATACCTTTCGTAGACATGCCTAGGTAGATCCGATCGATATCGATCTCGATTGAATTTCGCAAACGATCCGTCTGGACGTATCGATCGATAGCAATTAAATTCTCGTCGGTTTGACGTTTTCAACGACTGGCAATTCCATGATCGTCACTGTTCATCCAGTCAGATCAAATATGCCCCCCCTCC